GAGGAGAATGGAGGAGAAGGGATTGTGGCGTGGCCATCCCCCCTGGGGAGTGATTTCTCGCTTTCTGTCTCTCTGTCTCTCTCTGTCTGGCGAGCACACGTGCCCTATAGCAAAAAATACCCCTCAAAAAAAAAAAAAAGGAAAGCAAAGAAGTAGTACTTAAGCCAGCTATCTCTGATCTTTAAGACACTGGTTCTCAAACTTTAGTATCCCATCAAAATCACCTGGAGGCCTTATTCAGGCATAGCAGGTTGGTTTTCCAGAGTATGATTCAGTCGTTTTGAGGTGGGACCTGAGAATTAATGCACATAAGAGAGTCTGAGAGAGAAGTACCCTCTACAGGATGTCTTCATGCCATGGTTCCCCTTTCCTGAAAAACTCTAGCTTCTCAGGATATTAGGCACCTGCACACATGCGCCTTCATATTTGCAGGCTAGTCCAGGGATCTGGTTGAAGATACAGCTTCCAGCCTTGGGTGGCAGTTGCTTTATTGCTGTGCAAAAGCAGCTGAGTTGGTGGTCCAGGATGAAACCTAATCTGAGTGGACGTCTGGATGAGAGATGCGGATATAGGGCTGAGACCAGCTTGGGGAGGTGCCCTGGAAGGGGTCACCCAGGGCGGAACTGACACCCTGGCTCCTATTTCGTTTCAGGAGACACAGGAAGGGAAAGCACCAGAAAAAGGAGAATTCTGGTGGAAACAGCTAATGTTGTAGCTCTAAGTGGCCAATAAAAAAGACTCTGGAAGTGAAAACAAAAGCAGCTGAGTCAGATGTGCATTTCTCCCCTTTTTATTCATGTGGAGTACACGCATGTGAGGGAGGGAGATAGAAAGGGGGGAGCACTGCACTCTTCCCAAGGTCTGCTCGTGCTGCAGTCCCTTCCTCCAGCCCTTCAACCCGTTAGATCTTAGGCTCTTGCATGTGAACCCTGGGTGTTTTGGGATGACTGAACTGGGGAGTGAACTGTGGTTGCCATGTGGGATCTGGCTTCTCTTGAGCAGTACATTAGTGCTGCTTCATGGAGCCAGCACAAAATGTACCTTTTTTTTAATTGCCAGAAGGTGTGTGTTCTCATGCATATATGTACATGTGAGAGACCCCTTCGCTGGGATTTCCTCCACTCCTCCTCCTTGTCAGGATTTTTGGCATGCATACACACTTGCCTGGCACGCTTTTCAATCTGTTGGGGCCAAGATTTAAACCACAGTTGGCCTTGTAGGTTATGGTTCTTTTAACCACTGTGCTACAGGTCCAGCCCCTAGAATATGTATTTTTAAAAATACACATACATATTTTTGCCAGAGGGCATATCTACTCCCCAAAGAGAGACACAAAGTGAGAGAGAGGGGAAAAGTGAGAAGCAACTCCCATGGGGAGTGGTCATACCACAGCGCCTTCTCCATCTCTCCCTCCTTTCAGGATCTTATACATGCAAACATATGTGCTGGCATGTTTCTCAAGTCACCAGGTCCGGGACTCCAACCACACAGCTGACCATGTGGGATTGAGCCCTCTTAACCATCATGCCATGGGCTGGTCCAGAATGTGCTTTTTTTGTTTTGTTTTGGTTTTTTGCTATAGAGCATGTGTACTCACTGGAGAGACAGAAACAGAAAGCAAGAAATCACCCCCCGGGGGGATGGCCACATCACAATAACTTCTTCATTCTCCTCTCAGGATTTTGGGCACATGCGCATATGCATCCAGTGTGAGTTTTAAGCCACTGGGTCCAGGACTCAACCATGGTCGATTACATGGGAATCCAGTGATGTCACTATTACCCTATATGTTGGTCCCTTCCTTCACAGTCTTTAAGAAATAAAAGTCTCTGATTAAAAAAAACCCAAAAAAACAAAAACCAGTTTTCAGATTTCTTAAATTTGTGACTTCATCAGGTTGGTAAAATTATAGTTTCCAGCGCCAGCAGGTAATGTAGTAGTTAAGGCGCTGGACTCCTGCATGCTTACCTGTGGTTTGAGTGCTGGACTGGCCACTTGAAACTCAGGCTGGGTGCGTGTGCATCTGTACCCAAAAATCCCAAGAGGAGAGTGAAGGAGAAGAGACTACAGTATGGCCATCCTCTCTGGGGCCAAGGACACATGCACTATGGCAAAAATCTCTCCAAAAAATGAAAAAAAGCATAGCTTCCTTTTTGCCTACAAAAAGTTGACAGTTCTTTTTTTTTTTTTTATTTTAATTGAAACAGATTTTGTTTTGTTTCATTTTGAGATTGTTCGTGGTATCCATTTAAATAACCAGTGGTATTTTTGTTTTTGTTTTTTTGGAGAGGTTTTTTGCTATAGGGTGTGTGCACTTGCCAGAAAGAGAGAGACAGAAAGCAAGAAATCACCCCTAGAGGGGGATGGCCACGCCACAATCCCTTCTCCTCCATTCTTCTCTCAGGATCTTGGGCACACACGCACATACTCCTGGCATGAGATTTTTTTTTTTTTTGGAGAGGTTTTCGCTGTAGGGCGCGTGCGCTCGCCAGACAGACAGAGAGAGACATAGAGACAGAAAGCGAGAAATCACCCCCCAGAGGGGATAGTCACACCGCAGTCCCTTCTCCATTCTCCTCTTGGGATCTTGGGCACGCATGCACACGCGCTCGGCGTGAGTTTTAAGCCACTGGGTCCGGGACACGAACCACAGTCGACTATGTGGGAGTCCAGCGACATAGCCATTACACTAACTGCTGGTTCCCAACCAGAGATGTTTTAAGGTCCCTCAAAATCAGAGTTAAGAATTAGTGTCTTGGGACCAGATGATGGCACAGTGGGAATGGAATTAGATCTACGTGGGAAAAGTCCCAGGTTCCTATTCAGGACCTCCCTGAGCATGCACATTCTGTGGTCTGGGCTGGCTGAGAACCATCGGTGACCACGTGGGAGTCGAGTACCTTAACTTACTGGCCACATATTATTACTTATTTTAGATTTGCTATAGGGCACCTGCACTCTTCAGAGAGAAACAGAAAGTGAGAAAGCATGCTGCCAGGTCTAGGAATCAAAACATGGTCAGCCACGTGGGAGTCTAGCACCTTAACCACCATGCCACCTGCTAGCCCAAGACTAAGATTTTTTTAAGTGTATTTATTCCATGAGATAGGCAGAGAGAGTGGAGGAAGCACTCCAGTAGGTTTTTCACACTGTACTCCTACCCCCAGATTAAGCTAGTAAGGATCACAGGCATGTGTGCTTGCCCAGCACGCTCCAGGAAGCCTTAGGAGGCAAAACTGGGGCCTTCCTACTGGCTTCAAAATACTTAAAAGACTTAGGTATCGCTAAAAGCAAATTGGTGAGGTTTTTTGCATATTTGTAATTTAACTGCAGTTACAATCACAATTTGTCTCACATGATCTTATAGGCAAACTCTATTTGTTTTACTCTTTCAGATTTTATGGTTAGAAAATTGATTCTTGGGCTACCCCAAAACCTAGTGGTTAAGGGAACTGGATGCCACATTGCCAACTGAATGGTCAAATCCTGGCCCCAGCAGCTTTGCAAACATGCCATGCTTGTGCGTGTGTGCATCCTCGTAACCTGGCAGGATGGGGAAAATTGAGAAGGGATTGTATTGTGACCGCACTCCACTGGAGGGCGCTTTCTCTCTCTATTTCTCTGTCTCTCTGTCTCTTTCTGGGAAGCACATACACCCTCCAACAACAACAACAAAATCACTTCTTGGGTAATGTTGTTTAAGTTGGCAAGACAGACAAGAAACAACTCCAGGAGAGCACTATATAGGGGGCTATTATAGGGTAAGATAAAATGCAGGAGACTGTCCGATGGTTAGTGAGCCCCGAATACTGTGGCTTCAGCTCCATGTTTCTCACTCTGCTGTCCTGTCCTCCATGCTCGGCCCTCAGTTCTGTGGTTGGGTGGTGACTCAAGCAGTTGCAGCAATACTGTGCACGCTTCATACTCTGCATTCTGCTGCCTGCCTGGAGGCAAGCCAAGGCTTTTAGAAGGAATTTCAGATGGGCTACACCTGGGTTGAGAATGTTTTTGCCCCAAGTTCTCAGAATCAATGTATCTTAGTAACTGCCAGCAGGATTGGGAAGGGAACAGATTGTTATCCTAAATGGCCACAGCCTGGATGGGAGAAATGGAAGGCAAACAAGATGTCTTCGTTTAAGAATTAGGGCTTGGGGGACCAGCAGTTAGCGTAATGGCTATGTTGCTGGACCTCCCACGTAGTCGAACGTGGTTCGCGTCCCGGACCTGGTGGCTTGAACTCACGCCAGGTGCGTGTGCGTGTGTGCCCAAGATCCCGAGAGGAGAATGGAGGAGAAGGGATTGTGGCGTGGCCATCCCCCCTAGGGGGGGTGATTTCTCGCTTTCTGTCTCTCTGTCTCTGTCTGTCTGGTGAGCGCACGCGCCCTATAGCAAAAGCCCCCCCCCCCAAAAAAAAAAAAAAACTGGAAAAAAAGAATTAGGGCTTGGGGCCAGCAGATGTTGTGGTGGTTAAGGTGCTGGACTCCCACTCGGCTGAATGTGGTTTGAATCTGGACCTGGTGACTTGCTGTCTCACTTCCCCTGCCCCCTGTCTTTCTGGTCAAGTTAAATAATAATAATAATTCTTAAAAAAAAAAAATGAGAACTAGAGCAAGTTAGTCATACTCATTAAAACATGAAAGCAATGGGGGCCAGGTGGTATGATGGTTAAGATGCTGGACCACGTGGCCAACCATATTTGAGTCCCAGACCTGGTGGCTTGCTTTCTCATTTTCCTTTTTTCTGGTCAAATTAAATAATAATACATAATTAAATAATTCTTTTAAAACATATGAAAGTGGACTAGAAAATAATGAAGTGTATTGGAATTTTATTTTTGAAAGGCTTTTACCATAGGGTATGTGCACTCATCAGAGAGACACACAAAGATACAGTGAGAGGGAAAGTGAAAAATTACCCCCCAGGGGCCATAGCCACATCGTAGTCCCTTCTCCATTCTCCTCTTGAGTTGGGCATAGACACACATGTATCTGGCATGATGTTCAAGCTGTCAGGTCTAGGACTTGAACTGCAGTCAGCCATGTGGGAGTCCAGTGCTTTTAACCACCATCCTGCCAAGTTTATTGGAATGCTGAAAGAAAGTTAGTTATTTCTTTCTTCCATCAAAGACAGAAAGACACACTCAACAGGGTTCTCACACTGTGATCTTCCCCCAGTCTCGGCTCAGCCAGCTGGATCATGGGCATGTATGCATGCCCAACATGCTCAGGGTGGTGCAAGGGCACTAACTCGACACCTTCCTTGCATGGTCCTTGCCATGCCATCACTGTACTGCCTCCTGGCCCATATATTGAGCTTCTTGTTTTTTTTTAGTGGGGCAGAGGGCACATGCATTTGATGAGGAGAAACTAAGAGAGGGAGGGTGAGAGTGAGAGCACCCCTTATGAGGAATGGTCACAGTGCAGTCCCTTCTCCACCTGTTTGTCTCTCTTTGGTGAGTGCATGTATCCTCCAGCAAAGAAAGAAAATACACTCCCTTCCCCCCAAAACCCCATAATGTATTGATTAATGCACAGTAAGTACCAGTGGAGAGAACTGAGTGCTGTGTGAAAACTGAAAATTGCATGTCACCTGAGAACATCCCTCCCTCCTGTCAGGACTTTGGACACACACACATGTGCCCTGTATGTTTTTCAAGCTGTCAGTTGGCCGTGTGGAATTTTAAAAGTTGATTTCTCCAGGTCCTCCAGAAGAGGGCATTTGGTGCTTACAGTTTAAAATTTAAAGTTACAGTTTTTTCTTTCATTGTAGATTGGGAGTCCTCCTCTTGATCCTACTGAGCATTTTCTTTCTGAAGAAGAGAAACTTACTGAACAAGAAAGATCCAAAAGGTGAGAAGGTGTAGAAATCAACCCTCAGGTTTTCCACGTAGTGTAGGTCAAGTGATTGTTTAGAAAAGCATGTTTCCTACTTTGAGGCACTTAGAAAGGTTACAGAATGTAGATTCTGGCATGAGTACAGCCTCCACTTGCCACTTAGTAGTTGTGTGCCCTTATTCAAATTTGTAATGCAGATTCTTGTGTCAAATGGATGCAAACCCAACTGAAAGGGTTGGTGAGAGTACTAAGATAAATATACATGAAATTATAAGTCTTTTTTTTTTGGAGAGATTTTCACTGTAGGGCGCGTGCGCTCGCCAGACAGACAGAGAGAGACATAGAGACAGAAAGCGAGAAATCACCCCCCAGGGGGGATGGTCACGCCGCAATCCCTTCTCCTCCATTCTCCTCTCGGGATCTTGGGCACGCACGCACACGCGCCCGGCGTGAGTTTTAAGCCACCGGGTCCGGGCCGCGAACCGCGGTTGACTACGTGGGAGTCCAGCAACATAGCCATTACGCTAACTGCTGGTTCCCATGAAATTATAAGTCTTAAACCATTAGGCAAATACTGTTTTTTTTCTTCACAGATTTGAGAAAGTTTATACGCATAACCTGTATTACCTGGCTCAAGTCTACCAGCACATGGAAATGTTTGAGAAGGCTGCCCATTACTGTCACAGTACACTGAAACGCCAGCTTGAGCACAATGCCTACCAGCCTATAGAGTGGGCTATTAATGCTGCCACCCTGTCTCAATTCTACATCAATAAAGTAAGCTCAAAGTAGTTTTACTAGCAGAGTACCACTAGTGAGTACAAAAATAAAACCAATTATACCTTGAAAGTAGCATCTTTTAAAAACATACAGCTTTATGACGTGAAAACACTGGGCAGGAAAACGTAGCCCAGTTTGCCAGTGTACTAAAGTTTTGTAGCTTTTTGTTGTGTGAGTCATTTTGAGTCTTAAAATACTAAGTTTTATCATTATCTTACACATTGGTAACTCCTAAAATTACATGTAACCTAAGAACAATTCTTTTTTAATAATAGGCACACCGTCATAATTCGTCTTAGCGGGGTGTTACCTTAAATTGCAGATTTTATCTCATTATCGGTATAACTTTATCTTTATGTAATGGTAATCTGGTAACTACGAGAATTTGTCTGAGGAAGTTGACTGTTAAATGTGGGCTTTGATAAAAGCATGTGATGCATTTCAGTTATTTTTCAGAATTAACTCCTCTGTAATATTTTTTCAGTGTCAGAAATATCTCTACTGAGTTCCAAAGTTCCAGGTGTTTATGGCATGCTTTTTCTGATGGTTACAGGGGGACAGATTTGAGCTTCCTAGTTGTCGATCAGAGCTGCTCACATTATGTTGATGGACTCTTAATTGACTCATTTATTCCTTTAGTCTTTTAAGAGTTTCTAATGCTAAAATGCTTTTAAGCTACCTTTTCCAACCAGATTTTCTGTTAGTCTTTAATGAAATGTCTTAGCAATAGAAATTACTTTTATTTGTATTTCTAATTCACAAGCCCCTGAAATTTTGGTAATTCTCTGCTTCTCAAAGTTCCTTCTTTAATCCCTCTGGTTACCTGCTGCGTTACCTTTGGCCCTTTATCTTTCTACACTTTTTGTTAGTATTGGTTCTGTAAATGCACCCTATGTTTAAAGTATTATCCCACAGAATTTCATTCAGAAAAGCTATTAGCAGGAGAGAAAGGGCTGTGGTGGCTGCAGCATCGCTTCTAGGACTTTGGTCTAAGATCAAGCGTGTAAGTAACGCTACCGCATATATCAGAGCATTCAGTAAAATCTAATTCTCATAAATCCATCCCATTGTGGTCATCGTCCCAAATGTGTTACTCAGGGCCTCTGTTCGTGGCACCTTCCTTATAGCTATTGGAAGCCCCTTGTCCATTCTGTTTAGCAACTTGAAAATTTTATATTCACTGTGATTTTAATTAACACTTAAAACTCTATGGATATGAGTAATATTAAGATATCTGAATGTTAATTTAAAGTGTGATTTAAAATTTAAAGTTGTTAAGCATTACTTATGTGGAGCATGCAATAATTTTCATGAGTATCCCACCTCTCATTTTTATTTTTTACTTAAAACACTTCTGTTTTTATTAAAACCAGCTCAGTTATATTGCAAAAAAAAAAGTTTGAACCATGGTTTTAAAAACACTTTGGTCATTTATATCATTATCATCTTCATCTTATTCCAGGTTTTGTTATTCGGTGAGTCCCTACCTGGCAGGTACTGAAGTCCCACATTTACCAGCCACCTAGAGGGCACAGGGCAGTCACTGTTAACAGTGATTGCTCACAGGGAACCAGTCTGGATGAAGCTGAAGTGATAATGATGGGACAGGGATTATAGAGGAGAACCAGCTTCTTTATGTAAACTGCAATTTTCGTTTGGCTTTCAAAGTGTAGCACCAGCATTTTGATCTATTGATGTTGCTGGACTAGTACTCACATGGTTCCCAGCTGTTCAAGATGACTTCTGAATTTGTCATAATGGAGAGATACATTTAATGATGAGGTTTTAAAGTCATAGTCAACCATTTAAAGTCTTTCAGGTATTACTTATATGAAGTAGGTTTTTTATTTCATGAGGGTGGCTTCCACCTAAAAGTTGGACTTTAACTTTGTACTTCTGCTGGGTTGTCCTGTGACTTACATGACAAATACAAAGTGTTTATATATATATATATATATATATATATTTTAAAAAAATGAAAAAGCACCCCTCCTTCAGGGGGATGGCCATGCCATAGTCCCTTCTCCTCCTCTCTCTTCTTGGCATTTTGAGTACACGTGCACACATTCCTGGAGTATTATTTTCAAGCTACCAGGCACAGTTGCCATGTGGGATCCAGCCATCCTAACCACCACACTGGCTGGCCCCACACAGTGTTTATATTAACAAGGAGATCTTCTAAGTGTTTGAGAAGTTTACCATACCCAATCTTACATTATGAAGTCTTCAACTATGTTGGTAAAGCAGTTCCATAAAATTCATATGTAGAAATATATGACTTTAAAACTTGGTGGGAAACGTTGGTATATGTAAATTCAAAATTTTCAGAAGACAGAAATTTCTTCCTATCAAAATTTATCCTTTTTGCCTTTGAAGGGTAGAATGTAAAGGGAATCTTTAAACCTAATAGAAATTAAACTTTAGCTGGGTGTGTTGGTGTTGTGCACCTTTAATCTCAACTACTTGAGAGCCTGAAGCAGGAGGATCATAGTTTCAATGCTGGCTTGGGAAACATAGCAGACCCTGTCTCTTGAGAAAAATAAATAAATAAACTATTAAATCTTTAACCCTCTGACAAAATGTACATGGTCTAAGAATTCATTGTGCACAGGACTGCATATTTAGATCAACCTAAAGGACTCTCTGAGGCAGTCTGGGCCTAGGGTGATAGGTGCCCCTATCTGTTTACAGGTTACAGGAGGAGAGCTTACTCAGTCAGCAGGTATCTTTCAGCCAGTTCGACTTATGGTTAAGAGTTTTGGGGCATTGTTATTTTCATCTTTGAGTTAACTCTTTAACCAGATAATACTGTAATATGTCTTTTTTGCTTTCTTAATGTTCTGCAACTATGCAGAACTTCCTTAGAACTAGTTTTTAGCTAATTTTATAGCTTTTCCTATATTAAAATAATTTATACAAGTATTAGTTACACATATGGCCATGTGATTGACTCTTGTTTATTTCACCAACAGCTATGCTTTATGGAGGCCAGGCACTGTTTATCAGCTGCTAATGTCATTTTTGGCCAAACTGGAAAGATTCTAGCCACAGAAGATGGTAAGTTTATGTATACATGTTTCATTAAATAGCTTTTTTTTTTTTTTTTAGAATAAAGTTTTTGCCATAGGTTACATGCACTTGCCAGAGAGAGACAGAGGGAAAATGAGAAATCACCCCCTGGGGCAATGGCTATGCCACAGTACTTTCTCCTCTAGTCTCCTGGGATTTGGGGTACAAATGTTTTTAAAGCTGCCAAGTCTGCAGTCTGAACCGCCGTCGGCCATATGGGAGTCTAGCACTTTAACCACTACAGCACGTTCTGGCCCCCATTAAATAGTTTTACTCAAAAAAAAGTTAGGGACCAACAGTTGGTGTAATGGCTATGTCGCTGGACTTCCATGTAGTTGACCATAGTTCGAGTCCCAGACCCAGTGGCTTAAACTCACGCTGGGTGCATGTGCGTGCGTGCCCAAGATTCCCAGAGAGGAATGGAGGAGAAAGGATTACAGCGTGGCCATCCCCGCTGGGGGGTGCTTTCTCTCTTTCTGTCTCTCTCTTTCTGTCTTTCTGGTGAGTGCATGCACCCTGTAGCAGAAACCTCTCAAAAAAAACTTTTTTTTCTTTCATGACACATATTTTGGGGCCAGGAGTTGGCATAATGGCTGTTTCACTGGACTCCCATGTTGTCGACTGCGTTTCGATTCCCGGACCCGGTGGCTTAAACTCACGCCGGGTGCGTGTGCGTGTGTACCTCAGATCCCGAGAGGAGATTAGAGGAGAAAGGATTGCAGCATGGCCACCCCGGGGGGGGGGGTGATTTCTTACTTTTTGTCTTTCTGACGAGCACATGTACCCTATAACAAAAACCTCTCAAAAAAAAAAGAAAAGAAAAGAAAACTTTCTATTTTGAAGGTTTGTGGTGTTTTTTTTGTTTTTGTTTTTTTGTTTTTTTGAGCATTTTTGCTATAGGGTGCATGCATGCAAAAAAGCTAGCAATAGCAAAAAAAACTAAAATAAATAAAAAGCACTTGTTTTTAAAAAATTAATGAAAACTAAATCATGCACTGATAATTTTGTTTTTGCTCTTTAATAAGAAGCTGAAAAAATTACAATATCCTGGTTTTTAAAATGCTTGGAATGAGCAAATTATTTATTGTTGATCCCTCTCACTCTGTCTCTCTCAAGTGAGTGCATGAACCTTTTAGCATGCACACACACACACACACACACACACACAACAATATATTTTGTGATCATAATTTCTATCTATAGTTAAAACATAAGAAAAAACTAGAAAGAAAAAGGCAGAAATAATAGTACCTACAGGTAGTAGGATTTGGGTTTGTTTTTTCTCAACAGTTCAGTGAGGATTTGTTACTTTTATAATCAGGAAAAAGTAAAATAAAATAGATCCTAGTACACAAAGTTACCAGCGTTGAGCCAGCTAGTGTCATGATGGTTAAGGCAGCTGAATCCCACATGACTGACTACACAGTTTGAGTCTTGGACTTAGTGGCTTGAAAAACACTCCAAGCGCATGTGCATGTGTGCCCAAAGTCCTGAGAGGAGAATGAAAGAGAAGGGATTGCCACGTAGCCAGTCCCGCTGGGTGTGCTTTGTCATTTTTCTCTTTTTCTTTTTTTCTCTTTCTCTTTCTCTTTCTCTTTCTCTTTCTCTTTCTCTTTCTCTTTCTCCTCTCCCTCTCCCCCTGATCCTCCCCCTCCCCCTTCCCCTCTCCCTCCTTCCCTATAGCAAAAATAAGAAAAAAGGGGGGCCAGCAGGTGGTGTGGTGGTTAAGGACTCTAGGCTCCCACATGGCTGACCGCAATTCAAGTCCCAGACCTGGTGGCTTGCTTTCTCACTTTCTCTTGCTCCCACTCACTCGCTCTCTGGTAAAAATTTAAAAAATAATAATAATAAAGTTAAATACAATAATTCTTTAGAAAAAAGTTTTATAAAATAAGAAAAAAGGAATAAAGAAAGTTATAATTGGCACCATTAACTTGGACAAATTGCATGTATAATTTTAGCTCCCGAAGCTGAAGGAGATGTGCCGGAGCTTTATCATCAAAGAAAAGGAGAAATAGCAAGATGCTGGATCAAATACTGCTTGACTCTCATGCAGAATGCCCAGTTGTCCATGCAGGTAACACAGTCCAAAGTGGCCTTTTTATAAAAATGAGCAGGTACAGGTAAAAGTGTATAGTGGGGATCATGCTTGTTGGGTGCCCTGTGTGTTTATTATGAAAGACTTGTCAGATGCTCTTATAAATGTTTCTTGATTGTCTTCCTCATTTCCACCTTTAAAATCTTTACTGATTGGGAACCAGCAGTTAGCATAATGGCTATGTCGCTGGACTCCCACGTAATCGACCGACCACAGTTCGGACCCGGCGTGTGAGTGCATGCCTAGGATCCCTAGAGGAGAATGGAGGAGAAGGGATTGTGGCGTGACCATCCCCCCTGGGGGGTGATTTCTCGCTTTCTGTCTCTGTCTGTCTGTCTAGCGAGTGCACGCGCCCTATAGCGAAAACCTCTCCAAAAGAAAAAAGAAAAAAATCTTTACTGATTGTTCAAGGCCTATCTTTTTTTTTTTTTTAAAGAGGTTTTTACTTCAGGATGCAGGTGCACAGCTGGAGAGAGAGAGAGGCAATGAGAAGAGGGAAAGTGAGAAATAACCACATGCGATCCCTTCTCCTCTATTCTCCTCCCAGGATCTTGGGTACACATGCATGCACGCACATGTGCCTGGCGTGAGTTTTAAGCCATCAGGTCCAGGACTCAAACTGCAGTCAGCCATGTGGGAGTCCAGCGATGTAAACGCTATGCCATCTTCTGGTCCCAGTTCAAGGCCTATCTTAAATACTACCTCTTCCTTTAAGAATTTCCTTTGGCCAGCATATAAGGTCCTTGAGAGGTGGAGCCTTCATTATATTCTTATTGTATTATATCCAAATTTAATACATTCTCAATAAATAATTGTTGAATGAATTTTTTTTATATCCTACAGATAACATCTTTGTTCTTTAAACTCTGATACAACATTTCTTTTTTTTATGGAGAGGTTTTTTTGTTTTTTGTTTTTTTGCATGCACTCTCCAGAAAGACAGAGAGAGACAGAGAGACAGAAAGCGAGAAATCCCCCCCCAAAGAGGGATGGCCACATCACAATCCCTTCTCCTCTGTTCTCCTCTCAGGATCTTGGGCACACACACACACACACGCCCAGCATGAGTTTAAGCCACCAGGTCCAGGACTTGAACCACAGTGGACTACATGGGAGTCTAGCAACGTAGCCATTATGCTAACCGCTGGTCCCGTGATACAACATTTCTTACCTGTTGTTAAGTCAAAGTTTGTTTTGTATTAGCCTTATTTGTAATCTCACATCTTCTCTTTTTAGAATGTATGCAACTTGAGGGCAGAAAATAATTCTTATTGATCTTTTTTTTTTCTTTTTTTCAGTTTTGCTATAGCATATGTGTGCTCACCAGGGAGAGACAGAGAGAACAAAAGTGAGAAATCACTTCTGGGGAGGATGGCCATACCATAATCCCTTCTCCATTCTCCTCTTGGGATTTTGGGCACACATACGTGCTAGGCATGATTTTTCAAGCCCCTGGGTCCAGGATTCAAACTGTGTAGTCAGCCATGTGGGATCCAGTGCTTTAACCATCACACCACCTGCTGGCCCCCGGTACTTAATATTATTAAATGAGGGTTAAGTCAGAATATGTAAAGGCCTCAGAAAAGTACCAAGACATACTAAGTTCTCGATAAATGTTGTCATCATTATCATTATTACTAATCTATACTGAATCCTAGTTCCCAACCACTACGTGAGAAAATAAAACAAAGAGGAGTTATTACGCTTTTCCTTTTCTAAATGTCTGTATTAAATAGTAAATAATATAGATCCATGTGAACCTACTAAATGAACAGACCTCAGAACCCCAGAAGCATAGTTGTTGAAAAGATGAGGTCATTTTAGTGGTAAAGGGGAAAGATCAGGCATATTAGGGAGAGAAGGGGAGTAGGCAGAACTCTGGGGTTTATGTCTAGAGAAGCTGGAGCAGGATGTGTTGGTCTGGCAAGAGAGACAATAGAAAAGGAGGGTTAGGGACAGTTGGAGCGACACAGAGGGCTAGAGAGAAAGCATCATAGAGAACCAGCAGACAGACAGCAAGGAAGCAAGTGAAGATGTAGGGACTTAGGACGAGCATTTGGAGTCACTTTGTCAAGCAAAAGGCACTTTGGTTTAACTCTCACCCTTCAGTTCGTTGATGTTTCCAACCTGGGAACTAGAACTTATCACTGATTAATTTAAACGCACATAGTTAATGTGCTACTAAATTACTCAGGTTTTCCTTAAACTGGCCTTTTTTTTTTCTTTAAAATCTTTATCCTTTGATCATCTTTATATTTACCAGAAAGGTCTTCTTGGGACCAGCAGTTAGTGTAATGGCTATGTTGCTGGACTCTTACATAGTCAACTGCGGTTTGCGTCCCAGACCCGGTGGCTTAAACTCACGCCAGGCACGTGTGCATGCATGCCCAAGATTCCAAGAAGAGAATGGAGGAGAAGGGACTGTGGCGTGGCCATCCCCCTTGGGGGGTGATTTCTCGCTTTCTATCTCTCTGTCTGTCTGGTGAGTGCACACGCCCTATAGCAAAAACCTCTCCCAAAAAAAAAAGAAAAAAAAAAAAAGAAAGGTCTTCTTTAGGTTTTAAAATAATTCATTCAGTTAAGGGTTTTAATTATGTCAGCTCTGTGGTAGTCATTGTCCAAGTTTTAAGGGACATAATGATGAACAAAAATAGAGCTAATCTTTGACTTCATGTAAAAGTGCAACTGAGAAACTGTACAAAAAGAGACATTTGCAGACACTGGAGGAGGAAGTGACATTGTAAGCAAGCTCTAGGGATGAGTAGGTACTAATTAGGCTGGAGAAAAGAAGGTACACCATTGTGGGACCAGCAAATGGTGTAATGGTTACATTACTGGACTCTCACATGGCTGGCCATGGTTCAAGTCCCAGATCTGACAGCTTGAAATTCACGCTGGGGGCATGTGCATGCATGTCCAAAATCCTGAGAGGAGAGTGGAGGAGAAGGAATTGTAGTGTGGCCATCCCCTCTCCCTGCACCGAGGGTGATTTCTCGCTTTCTGTCTCTCTGGCAAGTGCACGTGCCCTATAGCAAAAATCTCTCTCAAAAAAAAAGAAAAAAGAAAGTATACCACTGTAAAGATAGGAAGCAGTTGGGACCGGCAGATGGTGTGGTGGTGAAGGGTGCTTGACTCCCACATGGCCAACTGTGGTTCAAGTCCCAGACCTGGCGTTTGGTTTCTTTCTTTCCCTTTCTCTCTCTCTCTTTTACTCTCTCTCTCAGTGTCCCTCTCTGGTCAAATTAAAATTAAATAAAGTTTAATAAAATAATTTTTTTAAAAAATAAAAAAGATCTGAAGCAACATTTTTTAAAGAGGTTTTTTGCCTTAGGGAACATGCACTCACTAGAGAGAGACACAGTGAGAGGGAAAGAAAGAAACTACCTTCCAGTGGGGATGGGCATACCACAATCCCTTCTTCTCCAGTGTCCTCTTGGGATTATGGGCACGTACGTGCACATGCCTGGTGTGTTTTTCAAACTTCTGGGTTTGGGACTTGAACTGCACACTCCGCTATATGGGATCTAGCCACCTTAACCTCCATGCCACTTGCTGGCCCTTGAATTTTTAATACAATCAGAAGAAAGAAAGTTTTTAAAAAATATTTATTATTTATGTATTTATTTATTTATTTTACATTGTATTTATTTATTGCCTGCAATAGGTCATTAACATTCATCAGAGAGAGACAGAGATAAGAGAAGTGAGAAAGCACCCCTAGAGAGATGGCTGTGTCCTCCTTCATTTTCCTCTTGGGATCTTTGGTATATACACACGTGTGTCTAGCATATTTTTCAAGCTGCTGGGTATAGGACTTGAACTGTGCAGTCAGCGTTGTGGGATCCAGTCATCTTAACTGCTGCATCACCAGCTGGTCTGAAGAAAGAAAGTTTAAAATATAGTTAAAATTACGATACCTCCTTAACTCAGGCTGGAAAGTAAGAAGTTTTCTTTTCTTTATTTTTATGCTTACTTTAATATTATTTGAGAAGATAAGGTTCCTGCTCAACCATAATTAATTCATTTTTCTTTCAGGACAACATAGGAGAGCTTGATTTCGATAAACAGTCTGAACTTAGAGCTTTAAGGAAAAAAGAACTAGATGAAGAAGAGAGCATGAGGAAAAAGGCTGTACAGTTTGGAACCGGGGAACTGTGTGATGCCATTTCTGCAGTGGAAGAGAAAGTGAGCTATTTGAAACCTTTAGATTTTGAAGAAGCCCGAGAACTTTTCTTATTGGGTCAGCACTATGTCTTTGAGGCGAAAGAGTTCTTTCAGATTGATGGTTATGTCACTGACCACATTGAAGTTGTCCAGGACCACAGTGCTCTGTTTAAGGTGCTCGCGTTCTTTGAGACGGACATGGAAAGGCGGTGCAAGATGCACAAACGCAGAATAGCCATGCTGGAACCCCTGATTGCAGATCTGAACCCACAGTACTATCTGCTGGTCAACAGACAGATTCAGTTTGAAATTGCACATGCTTACTATGACATGATGGATTTGAAGGTTGCTATTGCTGACAGGCTAAGGGATCCTGATTCACACATCGTAAAAAAAATAAATAATCTTAACAAGTCAGCATTAAAGTACTATCAGCTCTTCTTAGACTCCCTGAGAGACCCAAATAAAGTGTTTCCTGAGCACATAGGGGAAGATGTTCTTCGTCCTGCCATGTTAGCTAAATTTCGAGTTGCCCGTCTTTATGGCAAAATCATCACTGCAGATCCCAAGAAAGAGCTAGAAAATTTGGCGACATCATTGGAACATTACAAATTTATCGTTGATTACTGTGAAAAGCACCCTGAGGCTGCCCAGGAAATAGAAGTTGAGCTAGAACTTAGTAAAGAGATGGTTAGTCTTCTGCCGACAAAAATGGAGAGATTCAGAACAAAGATGGCCCTGACTTAATCCTTGTTTTTAAAAGAAGGAACTATGTAACATCAAGGTGACCTTTTTCCCTTAGTCACATAGACCCTTGTGATATTTACCTAGATAGCAAGTGTAGTTTGAACTTGAGATACAGTTCAACTGAGTCTTTGCTAGGATCTTAATAAAAATAAAATAAATTAATTAATACCTAAGTATGTAAATTGCTTTGTTAAAGTGACATGTGATTTGTGTTTTAGATTGCTCATTTCCTATTTAAATATAAACCTTTCCTACGTCAGTTTCTAAATGTAGACTCTGTTGGCTAGCATGGTAGTATCCCCATATCCATGGAGGATACATTCCAGGATCCCAGTGGGTGTCTGAAACAGCAGGCAGTACTGAACCCTGTATATACCATGTTTTTTTTTATTCTGATAACCAAGGTGTCTGCTAAGTGACTGACAGGTAGCTAGCATATACAGCACAGATATGCTAGACAAAGGGATGACTCGTGTCCCAGGCAGGATGAAGCGGAACTGCACGAGAGTCATCACACTACCCAGAGTGGCATGCAGTTTAAAACATATCGATAACATATTCTATGGAATTTTTTCTTTTAATATTATTGTACTGTGGTAACCACAGAAAATGAAAACACGGAAAAGGGGAGACTATGGTACTTGATAGATTCCTTATAAGAAAAAAGACTGGGTAAAAATATACCTATGAGAGAGTGTATTACTATATTAAAATTTGAAAAAGTGGGGCCAGCAGGTGGCATGGTGGCTAAAGGCACTGGATTCCCACATGGCCAACCACGGTTCGAGTCCTGGACCTGGTGGCTTGCTTTCTCTCTCTCTCTCTCTCTCTCTCTCTGTCTCTCTCTCTCTCCCCCTCCCTCTGTCCCTCTTTGGTCAAATTGAAATAAACAAATTAATAAAGTTAAATAATTATTTTAAAAAATTTTTGAAAAAGAAATTTCCTATGGGTGTTCTTTCTAAATTATTTACTTTCTTAAGTTCCCAAAGCAATCTTTCCCTTCTGAAAATACTAAAAAAAAAAAAACTATGTTGTAGTGTCGTAAAATGGTTTGTTACAATTATAGGGGGAAAGGGCCTTGTTTGAAATGTAATAAATTGACTTGTTTCACAAATAAAACTTCCATTTTCTCTTTGTTTTCTTGTAAGATTTTTTTTTTTTTTTTGGTACTTCAAAGATACTAGCTTGGAGTCAGCAAGTGACATGGTTGTTAAAGTGCTCGGTGCCCACATGGCTGAACTTGGTTTGAGTCCTGAACCCAGTAGCTTGAAAATCACAACAAATGGGACCAGCAGATGGCATAATGGTTACGTCATTGGACTTCCACATAGTACACTGCAGTTCATGTCCCAGATGCGTCGGCTTAAAACTCACACCGGGCACATGTACACGGCATGCCTAAGATCCCAAGAGGAGAATCAAGGAGAGGGGATTGCAGTGAGGCCATTTCCCCTAGAGAGTGATTTCTCACTTCTTGTCTCTCTGGCAAGTACACCCTCCCTATAGCATAAATCTCTTAAAATGAAATCACAACAAACAAATAAATAAATGTTTAAAGAAAAAATACTGAGGCTGGCAGGTGATGTGGTTAAGGGCGCTGGACTACCACGTGGCTGACCGTGGATCAAGTCCCAGACTTGGTGGCTTGTTTTCTCACTTTCTCTTTCGTTCTTGCTCTATCCCTCTCTGGTCAAATTAAAATGAGTAGGGACCAGCAGTTGGCCTAATGGCTATGTCACTGGACTCACACGTAGCCAACCACAGTTCAAGTCCTGGACCCGGTGGCTTAAACTCATGCCTGGCGTGTGTGCATGAGTGTCCAAGATCCTTAGAGAAGAATGGAGGAAAAGAGATTGTGGTGTGGCCAACCCCCTGGGGGGGTGATTTCTTTCTGTCTGTCTCTGTCTTTCTGGTGAGTGCATGTGTCCTATAGCAAAAACCTCTCCAAAAAAATTAAAATGATTAAATAAATAATAAAATAATTCTTAAAAAATAAGAAAGATACTAGCTTACCTGAAGCAAGAATATTTCTTTCGAGTTGTCTCTATCCCCTGGTGTTTAAGGTATCTGATCCCACACACCTGACTGGCATAAAACTCACGTGGATGCGTGTGCACAAATGCCCAAAATCCCCAGAGGAGAGTGGAGGAGAAGGGATTGTGGTGTGGCCACCCCTCCTGGGGGATTGATTATTCACTTTCTATCTTTCCAGAAAGCACATGCATCCTATAGCAAAAACCTCTCTTAAAAAAAATTATTGCCCAGAGTCCCGGAGTCTAAGCCGGTTCCCAGTCCAGCCCCGTCCCTCAGCCGCCTGCCTCCTCTTTCCTTTCAACATGACAGATGCCGCCGTGTCCTTTGCCAAGGACTTCCTGGCAGGTGGAGTGGCCACGGCCATCTCCAAGACCGCGGTAGCGCCCATTGAATGGGTCAAGCTGCTGCTGCAGGTGCAGCATGCCAGCAAGCAGATCACTGCAGATAAGCAATACAAGGGCATTATAGACTGTGTGGTTCATATTCCCAAGGAGCAGGGAGTCCTGTCCTGGCGTGGTAACCTGGCCAATGTCATCAGATACTTTCCCACCCAGGTTCTCAACTTTGCCTTCAAACATAAATACAAGCAGATCTTCCTGGGTGGTGTGGACAAGAGGACCCAGTTTTGGCACTACTTTGCTGGGAACCTGGCATCCGGTGGTGCTGCTGGGGCCACGTCTTTGTGCTTTGTATACCCTCTTGATTTTGCCCATACCCGTCTAGCAGCTGATGTGGGTAAAGCTGGAGCTGAAAGAGAATTCAAAGTCCTCGGCAACTGTCTGGTTAAGATCTACAAATCTGATAGGATTACGGGCCTATACCAAGGCTTTAACGTGTCCGTGCAGAGTATTATCGTCTACCGAGCTGCTTGCTTTGGTATCTATGTCACTGCAAAGGGAATTCTTCCAGATCCCAAGAATACTCATATCTTCATTAGCTGGATGATTGCACAGTCTGTCACCGCCGTTGCCGGATTGACTTCCTATCTGTTTGACACTGTTCGTCACCGCATGATGATGCAGTTGGGGCGCAAAGGAACTGATATGCACACAGGCACGCTTGACTGCTGGAGGAAAATTGCTCGAGACGAAGGGGGCAAAGCTTTTTTCAAGGGTGCGTGGTCCAATGTTCTCAGAGGGATGGGTGGTGTTTTTGTGCTTGTCTTGTATGACGAAATCAAGAAGTTCACCTAAGTTATTTCCTAGGTTTTTCTCTCCTGTGAGCAGGCATGTTGTATAACATATCTTAAGCATTTTTGACAGCCCCATGGCTGTCTATCAGTGGCAACTATTTACTGGTTGAAAATGGGAAGCAGTAATATTCATCTGACCAGTTTTCTCTTAAGTTATTTCCATGATGATGACAATGATGGGACTCAATTATATTTTTTATTTCAGTCACTCCTGATAAATAATAAATTTGAAGAAATAAAAACATCTAAAATATTTTTTAAAATCATTTAACTTTTTAATTTATTGATTTTAATTTGACCAGAGAGGGCCAGAGTGAGAGAGGGAAAGCAAAAGAGCAAGCTGCCAGGTCCTGGGACTCGAACTGCAGTTGGCCATATGGGAGTCAAGAACCCTCAACCACCACGCTGCCTGCCAGCCCCTCATTCATATCATTAATTTAATAAGTTTTGCTTTAGTTTTTAGTCAGAAGACCTTAATTAGCTTTATAATTCTAGAACTGGGCAACACTTGATTCTGTAAAATAGAATTAATGTTTCTAACATTGAGTTACTACATAAGGAACCTTTTTGGCTGCATTTCTCATCAAAAGATCCTACAAGGGAACCAGCAGTTAGCGTAATGGCTATGTTGCTGGACTCCCACGTAGTAGACCGCGGTTCGTGTCCCAGACCCGGTGGCTTAAAACTCACGCCGGGCGCGTGTGCGTGTGTGCCCAAGATCCCGAGAGGAGAATGGAGGAGAAGGGATTGCAGCGTGACCATCCCCCCTGGGGGGTGATTTCTCGCTTTCTGTCTCTATGTCTCTCTCTGTCTGTCTGGCGAGCGCACGCGCCCTACAGTGAAAATCTCTCAAAAAAAAAAAAAAAAAAGATCCTACAAAAAAAAAAAAGTGTATTTATACAACTTTCATTGTGTTGGCTTGCCTTTGATTCACTTCTAAAAGCTGAAGCCTAGATCAGCTGAAGATTCTGTTTTGTATGTATGTATGTCTTTTTCTTTGGAATCCGTTTGCCAGGAAGAAACTCTTTAATGGTCAAGAATGTGTACTTTGCTCAATATTTAGCTAGCATTTATTAAAGTCTACCATGGGTTGGGCTCTTTTTTCACTTTTTTGAGCATAGAGCTGATGGTGTTGCACAAGCTAAACAAGATCCTGCTCTCGTGGAGCAAGTAAACAAGCAGTTAAGTTCAGGTCACAAGTGCTATTGAGAAAGGAAAATAGATGATATGGGAAGCATTTTATGGGAAGAGGTGCTGGCTTTAGCTATGGTGAACTGGAAAGACCATTGAGAAGGTGGGAGGTAACACTGAGTTAAGAACTAAACGGGGCGGGCGGGGTACAGCCAAATAATCTTTGGGAGACGATTCCAGAGAATGCTGGAATTAGGAGTCTGAAAAATGAGAAAGGCCAGTGTGGCGGGAGCAGGTGATGGGGCAGGGCAGGTAGTCTAGATGGAGAGGGCCTTCTAGATCAAGAATAGGGAGTTTGGATTTCATTTTAGGTCCAGTGAGAACCTTTAAAGATTTTTTAAAAATAATTATTTGATTTTATTTATTCATTAATTTATTTTAATTTGATCTGAGAGAGGGAGAGGGAAAGTGAGAAAGCAAGCCAGCAGGTCCAGGACTCGAACCGTAGTCGGCCTTGTGGGAATGTCCAGCACTCTAACCACCATGCCACCTGCTGGCACTCTTTGAAGAATTTTTCAAAGAGTGGCATGATATGATCGGAAATGTCAGGAAACTAACTCTGGCTCTTATGGGGAGAACATAGGAGCAGGGGGGTAGGGGCAGGGAAAACCAGAGGATGCCAGAGGGATGAGCTAGGTTGTATTAGGGTTAGTTAATTCAAGAACCAGCAGATGGTGTGGAGGTCAAGGTACTGGGTCCCACATAGCTGACTGCAGTTCGAGTCCCAGACCCAGAGGCTTGAAAAATCACACTGGCCATGTGTGGCCAAAATCCTGAGCGGAGACTGGAGGAGAAAGGATTGCAGCATGGCCATCCCTTCTGGGGGATGATTTCTCATTTTCTCTCTCTTTGATGCATGAGCACATATGCCCTATAGCAAAAAAAAAAAAAAAAAAAAAAAGATAAATAAAATACAAGATTAATCCAAATGAGAGACAAAGTGGTTTGGACTAGAGTGATGGAGTAGGGATACAAGGAAGTGGCTATTTTGGAAGCAGAACTACAGGACTTGCTAACGGGTTAAATGTAGGTCATAAAGGGAAAAGAACCACATTTAGTTGAAGTGTGCAAGCGAAGCGTATTTTTATAGACATGTGGGTTTAGAATTGAGAGTTCTATTTAGGTCATGTTGTGTTGATGTTAAGCTTGAGACGAAATGACTAATATCCCTTCATCAGACTTTCCTAGGAAAGCACAGAGGATCAAGATGCAAAGAGAGGGCTCGGGTTTCTTGAGGAAAGTGTTAGGGCACCGCATCCTGATACTCTCATCTTTCCAGCTCCTTTGAGAACTGATTTTTATCAGTCCCTCCTGATACAGCCGTTTTCCTACTGTCTGACTACAGAACTTCATCGCTGTCTTAGTTCATCTGTTTAACAAATGCTT